CTGCTACAATATTTTCTGCTTGTTTTTCGAAAAGGATGGGGAAGACCCCTGTTACAACCCTTGATCTTTGAATATGGAAAATATGTTTACACACACTGCTTTATTGCTTTTCTTTGTTGCTCTACCGTGTAAAAACAAAGAAAATCCACCCTCGTTCGTCTCTGGTTGTTGAACCGAGAGCCCCCCCTTTTGTTGTTGTCCTCTTTTTTCTGTAGAAAAAAACAAGCCCCCTTTTATTTCTATTTTTGCTTCCTTTTTTATCCTTTGATTCCACGTGCTATACCCCACTACATCTTTGAAATATGTTGATTTCCACTGAATCTTGGTAGTGGAGTGATAGGTGCTGCCTTTTTTATTTTTGTCTTTGCATGTATAATTGATGGGTACTAATGGTTTAGGTGAATTTGGCTTTAATGATAATTTTTTTTATTGATTTGGTGTAGGCTTAACGTGAAATATGGGTAATAGTAGGGTAATGGGTTAGGTTTGGGGATTTGTCTCTGACTTGGAAATTTGCTTCAACTTTCGGTGGATTTGTTGGTGTAGGTTGATAAAAATTGCTTTGATGGTGGCATGATTGGCGTGTGGCGCTGGCAGCTGGAACTGGAACGAGTATGGGTCTACAACAAATAAAAATAAACAGTATTATATTAATAATATAATAATAATAATAATTATCTACCGGATAAAACAGGTGTCTACAGCTTCCCCTCTTTGCTCATTCTTGTGTTAACAAGAATAGGGCAAAGATAAAAAAAGACATTGCGTTTTTGTCCAGTTCCATCTCTGTTTTAAAACTTGATAAGGGATCTGCTCCACTCCTCCCCCGGGGTAAGACTTGAAAAATCTTCGGAAAGCATGTTCACTCCCTATTCCTTCAGGGAGTAGAAACTCGAACAATCTTTTGCTTACAGGTTCGCTCCCACTTTCACTTTCTTTAGGGAGTATAGAACTCGAACATTTTCTTCTTACGGGTTCGCTCCCTCTTTCTCTATGGAGTATAGAACTCGAACACATTCTTCTTACGGGTTCGCTCCCTCTTTCTCTAGGGGGTATAGAACTCGAACACATTCTTCTTACGAGTTTGCTCCCTCTTTCTTTAGGGAGTATACAACTCGAACATCTTTATCAATCGTATATCGCTTCAGAAAGTATAAAACTCGAACAATCTTCAACAATCGTGTCTGCTCCCTATTCCTTCAGAGAGTATAAGACTCGAACAACCTTCAATAATTGTGTCTGCTCTCTATTCCTTCAGAGAGTATAAGACTCGAACATCTTCATCAAACGGGTCTGCTCCCTATTCCTTCAGAGAGTATAAGACTCAAACAACCTTCAACAATCGTGTTTTCTCCCTATTCCTTCAGAGAGTATAAGACTCGAACAATCTTCAACAATCGTGTCTGCTCCCTATTCCTTCAGAGAGTATAAGACTCGAACAATATTCAACAATCGTGTCTGCTCTCTATTTCTTTAGAGAGTATAAGACTCGAACAATATTCAACAATCGTGTCTGCTCCCTATTCCTTCAGAGAGTATAAGACTTGAACAATCTTCAACAATCGTGTCTGCTCTCTATTCCTTCAGAGAGTATAAGACTCGAACATCTTCTTCAATCGTGTCTGCTCTCTATTCCTTCAGAGAGTATAAGACTCGAACATCTTCTTCAAATGGGTTCGCTCCCTCTTTCTTTAGGGAGTATAGAATTCGAATAATCTTCCGCAAACGGGTTCGCTCCCTCTTTCTTAGGGAGTATAGAACTCGAACATCTCATTTGCTTCACTATTTTATTAAGTTTGATTTGCTTGAAGGTCAAACCTGAAATCAAACGTTATCACTCATTAGTGTATGCTTGAAAATTTAAAAATCATTATACTCAAAATTTTAGAATTTAAGAGAATCTTTTGAATCCATTTCTCTTGTGAGAGCTTGTCTCGCCACAACTAAATGTGAGAGTCTTCATTTACTTGGTTTCATTGAACCTCTCCCTTCCTAGGACCTTGAATCGGTTGATGACTCCTTGTGCGCATTTTCTTTAAATCAATTGATCATCTTCCTTGTACTCGAGAACTTTTTCGATTTCCTGATGATCTGATGGTTTGCTCCAACACTCTTCCGAGAAGGCTTAAAATGGATTTGCTTCATTACTCTTCAGTGAAGGCTTAAGATGGATTTGCTTCACTACTCTTCGGTGAAGGCTTAAGATGGATTTGCTTCATTACTCTTCGGTGAAGGCTTAAGATTGACTTTGCCCTAATCTCATGTGTGCAAGTCACTTCAATCGATTGATTCCTCTCTTCATACAAAAAAATCTTTGTTTTTCTTCTACATTTGATGGTCTTCACTTCAAAGAAATACTTTTTCTGTATATTAGACCTCTCTGTTCTTTAGGGTATGCCTCTTTAAATGTAACTCCTTGCGTTTGAGGTTTGAAATCTTTCTTTCAATCGTTGGGATTTTAACATCCTGCATCTTCTCTTTTCACCGGAAGATCTGTCAAAATCATGTGTTTATGCATGAAACACTAATGCAATTAAATGTGTCAGTGTAATGCATTTTCTTTTATGCAAATGATGTTTTCATGAATGCATAAATGTTGAATCAATCTTCACTTGGCTCTAGAGTGGTGAGCTCGATCTTCTTCTACTTGATCATTCTTTCAAGGCCTACTCAAATATTGATGTAGCAACTCATAATTCCCAACTTGCACTTGTGAAGATCCATCTAATATTCTTCTATTTTCTTGTTATCTTCGTGTTCTGTCTTCATTTCAGAGAAAACATTTTCTCTCTCAACTTCTTGTTATGGTCAGAAATATGACTATGTTCCCCCATTTTGGAGACTATACATATGACTAGGCCAAACTCCGTAAAGATCAAAGGGAGTGATGTGTCTATTCTGATTTCTCTTACAACATATCACAAGGAGGATCTATCCCGATTTTCATATCACTACATCTCATCAGATATCAAACAAAGTTCATTTATACCATATCATGTCGAGGTTTATCAACAGCCCATCATTTAACCTTAGTTGGTTCCACTAGTTTCTTGTTGTTAAAAGTTTATCACCTCTTCTGTGGACAAAAATCTCCATCATTTCTCATTTTTAACCTTGGGATTGCAGAAAATAATCTTCATCCTAGGTAATGAAATAATCCATAATCGCTACACTGATTCATCACCATATTCATTGTAAAACATTCGACAATACATTCATCTCTTCATGTGGCCTCTACTCATATCTTTCGACTGGAGAAGTTCTTCGCATAGCGTTCGAAGTTTTTGTATGGTATTACAAGGATACCAAAACGAAATGGAAATCACAAAAGTCATGCAACTAATGATTGACGAAATGATCATATACAGTAAACCCTACTATCATTGCTTCTCCATTTTCACTCTTCATACATTCATGTCCCATCGGAACTATTTGTTCAATTCAATGATCGTTTCACAAGTCTTCACAGGCTTTCAAAGATGCCTCATATTAACACCTCTAGTTGAATCATGCTTCACTAGTGCCGCAATATTATCTTATACTGGTACGAGCCTTCAAAATACCCCAACATCTCCGATTGTAAGGCTCACTCTCAATGCCTTCTTGGTCTAAATCTTGTCATCTCAACATGATGTGGGTTTAGTTGTGCCCCAACATTGTCTTATACTGGTACGAGCCTTCAAAATGCCCCATCACCTCAAATCTTGTCATTCTGTTGTCAAATAGTTTGAGGGCTTTTCTTCATACTACTTAAGAAGTGATCAATTCTTCTCTTCATACAAGCTAGGATATGTGCCCCTTCTAAATAATGAGGTCATTTTCTTCCTAATGGGTTATTGACAACGTCACAAGGAAATGCTACAAGCTCTTATTCTCCATCAATTCTGATAAAGAATTCCACCATATTCAAAAGCAACAAGATTGATTAAGTTAAAATTACCAAGCCTTTAGAAAGATAAAGAATATTCGATTATTTACAAATATCGAGACCAGATCTTAAATAGTTATAACAACCTTTTCTCGATAAATTTAAATAGCCGAACATTTCTTTTTCTTCGATTCCAAATTTTAAAGTAATGAATCAATTAATAGGTGTCACTGATGGGATACACTTTAATTTAAAATCGTTAAAAGCGGATATCTAATAAGTTAAGACAACTCACTTAAAATAATTTTAAATTAAAAGGGTATTACCCTTAATCTAATTATGAATAATGTCGAGTTATGTACATGAGGATACCGTCATATTATACAAAAATGACGCCATGCAAAAAATAATTAAGCAAACTACTATAATTATCTAATCACTAAATAATATACATAGAAATATCATGCAATAATATTTAAATACAAAAATACACATGAATATTTTTAGAATATAAACTATACACGTATATTAACATGAATCTATATAACTAAAATAAAGAAAAGGAAACATCACATTAAAAATGCAAAGTTAAAAAAAGGAAACATATGAAACTTGGTACTAAATGATTAAATTTAAATTAAAAAGTAAAAAGGAAACATAAAACCGATTGAAATTTAAAATAAAATAAAACGTTATCGTAGTGTACTAAAACTATAATAAAATAAAATAAAACCGAATACATTCAGGACCGAAATATAACATGCAAAAACCTAGAGCTCTAAAGCTAAATGACAACAACAAAACAATCAACTTTTATGACTAAAATCAAATAAGTATAAAATACAAAGATTAAATTAAAAAAACACAACAGACCCGACTTAAGGACTAAAAAGTAACATGCAAAAATCACAAATCAAATGTATAAAGAACAGAAGCTAAATACATTACCACTCAGGACTAAAATTGAATATGCATAAAAGATGAAGTCCAAATCAGGAAACAAACAAGACTCGATTGGGACCAAAATGGAAATCAACGGCAGAAGTGTAGTGACCTTAAAGAAATTATCCCTAAAAATCTAATATAAAACTTTCTTTAAACTAAACCTAACCTTTACTTATCTATTCTCTTCTTCCTCACAGAACGGCGCCCCTCTTCTCCCCAAACTCTTTATTGCTCTCGATTGAAACCCTCACCGCACCCCGATGGTTGCTCCTGCTCCGACCGTCACAGGACTCGACTGGTAAGCCTCTAATCCTAATCAAAACAACATCACACTCGATTCTATTCTAACCCCTTTTTTATGTTTACCTCAATCTAAAGCTATGGAACCGACTCGGCCAACCTAATGCTCCTAAGGTCCAGACGCTGATAGCCCCCACTCTCGACGCACTGCAAGGTAAGCTATCAAGACTCTCCTCTTATCCCGTTTTGTTTCGCTTTTCCTGGTTGATGGGTGAAAACCTCTGCTTTTATATGATTTTATACTTATTCATTCATTTTGAAACATATCACACACACATACATACAAAAAGTACGAGGAATACCTTAAAAATTATCTCTATTGCTTTCCCGATTTTTTTTGAATAAAATGAAGAATTTCCTGCTACAATATTTTTGCTTGTTTTTCGAAAAGGATGGGGAAGTCCCCTGTTACAACCCTTGATCTTTGAATCTGGAAAATATTGTTTACACACTGTTTTTCTGCTATTCTTTGTTTCTCTACCGTGTAAAAAACAAAGAAAATCCACCCTCTGTTCGTCTCTGGCTGCTGAACCGAGAGCCCCCCTTTTGCTGTTGTCCTCTTTTTCTGTAGAAAAAAAGAGCCCCCTTTTATTTCCATTTTTGCTTCCTTTTTTATCCTTTGATTCACGTGCTATACCCCACTACATCTTTGAAATATGTTGATTTCCACTTAATCTTGGTAGTGGAGTGATAGGTGCTGCCTTTTTTTTATTTTGTCTTTGCATGCATAATTGATGGATACTAATGGGTTTAGGTGAATTTGACTTTAATGATAATTTTTTTATTGATTTGCTGTAGGCTTCACGTGAAATATGGGTAATAGTAGGGTAATGGGTTAGGTTTGGGGATTTGTCTCTAACTTGAAAATTTACTTCAACTTTCGGTGGATTTGTTGGTGTAGGTTGATAAAAATGGTTTTGACGGTGGCATGATTGGCGTGCGACGTTGGCTGCTGGAACTGGAACTGGAACGAGTATGGGTCTATAACAAATAAAAATTAACTTTATTAATAGTATTAATAATATAATAATAATAATAATAATAATTATATACCGGATAAAACGGTTGTCTACACCAATCTTATATGTGCATTTTTCTTCTTTTTTAACTTTTTTGAAATTTCAGGGTACAAGACGGATGGGACGAGTTATATAGTAAATAATTTTGGGACGGGTGGGATCGGATTTAAGGTAAAAAACCGACTTACCTTGTATAAATTATTAATTTATCTTTTTTATATATAATATATTTAAGATTTAAAGGATTTCTTATATGGTTAAAATATATTCTTTAATTATTAAAAATATAAAAATTATTATAAAATATATTATTTTAATTGTTTAAAATATAATAAATAATTATAAAATTTATTATTATAAAATTTATTATTTTAATTATTTTAAAATTTAATATATTTGGGTCGGGCCGGATCAAGTTTTATTCTAAAAACCAGGGTAAGGTCGAGACGAGAGAAAAGCTAGAATTCATCATGGCAGGGTGGGGTCGAGTATAAGGAATATATTTTCAGGTCATGGTCGAGCGGCCAAAAAACTAGCCCGTCCCGCCTTGTGCCCATCCTGATGACGAGTTTAATTATTTATTGAATTGTTCATCTAGTTCAGTTGGTATAACGCAAGGCTCTTAACTTTGTGGTCGTGGGATCGAGTCCATTTAGGACAATTCATAACGGAAGTCTTTTATGAAAAATTCCACATATACGGAAATAAATGAGTTAAATCCCAAAATAATTTTTTAACACCTTCGTTCTCTTTTTTTTAATTATTTTTTCTGTTTACAGTATTTAGCCAATGAAATCTTTAAGTATCAACTATAAAATCAAAACTAAAATCAATTAAAAAAAATCAGACCAAACGTTTCATAAGCAAAAATCTAATTAAAACAACTATTATTTTAATCAAATTATTGTTATAATAAATGCTCAATTATTATTATAATCGTGATACTCAAACTCGTAACCTCTAAAAATAACAACGATTCTTTTAACCAAAGTATTATTAGTTGTGATAGTTGTATCTTAAATACACCAGGGAATAGAAGGCTGGGCATAAAATATTTGTTACAAATTGTTATTCTCTCTTATTTCTCATTCTATCTTCTTTATTTGCTATAATTTCTTGTTCTTCAGTGGAATTCAGCTTGATTACTTGAGTTCATATCATTAAGGAACTAAGTTCATAACTTTTGGTGCTTTCATTGAGAGACTGAGCTATGGTGAACGATACGGAGGTCATTAAAAGTCTGCAGGAAACTGTCGCTCCCTAGGAACAGCTAATGCGCTCTCTTCAAGCTCATGCCGAGGAACAAAAACAAGTAACGAAAAGATCCAACGAGCTCATAAAGATGTGGAACGTCAATTGGCGATCATATTATCGCAGTTGGGACTGACGTTCAAGGCACAACCTGAAATTGATGGATTGGAAAAAGTTGTGTCTAAGCAAGACCACTCAAGCACAATGATAATCCATATGTTTGATGAATTGCCAACACCAAAAAACTCTGAAATTGGCGATCAATTGCTTCAGAGTAGTAAAGGAGCTGATTTCCAGTGCACTAATGGAGGCAACTCAAGCACAGTAGTTACCCATGTGTTCGATGAATTGAGATGGAGGCATTGTAGAGGAACAATTGGATCAAGACACTAGGGTGTATCAACTATGGTTAACTACATTGTCAATGCTGATCTTTGATGGTGATAATTTCGATGGTTCGTACAAACTGAAATGTTCTCGATTTTTGAGGATGACATGAACAAACTGCTCACAAAGTTAGAGTAGCGTCTTAAAGAAAAAGGGGGTTCTTAAAACTGACAAGCTAAGTTGGGTAAATTACTTGACGATGATGAGGAATCATGTTGCTCCAAAAGATTATGGGACTGAAAAGGATGTCGAAGAAATTATACAAAAGATACTTGCACCATGAAGGACCAAAAATTTGGTGTTATTGAACTGATCAGTTTGTCTTGGATGAAAATTCTTATGCTACTTTCAACTCGAGATTGAAAGATAATTGCAGAGAATAATGAAAAAGAGATTGAAACTGTGGAGTTGCCGAGACAAAAGCGGAGTTCTTGAACAAGGCAGTGAAATCGATTATAGTAGGCGGATCAAAGTGGCGTGTTGCAAAGGCAAGTTAGGTTTTTGTTGAGTTGGCCAATGCTAGCCGGTATGTCAGGGCGGCTATTCCATCTGCTAAAGGGCTTGTTCCCGAGCAACATCCTCATTTCATTTGGTACATATTGGAGCGCTATGAGTATCATCGTTTATGGTGAGATAGTTGAATCTACTGATGTTTACTTATTCGTTGGATCTATTTACAACGATTATAGCTCTATTAGATACTTTCTGCTTCTGAAGAAGTAGATGGCAATTATTGTGCAGCCTAAGTGGGTAGTGATTGGTAATGAGCCTGCATTTGGATGTGTTTTGAAGAAAGATTTCCTTAGAGGCTTGCTAAGTGATTGAGCACATTGATTCCGCTTATAAGAATTATCATAGGATTTTTGTCCTAGAGGGACATCCTCTGAAAGCAGCAGCTAAAGAGCCTCTGAGGATCAATGATTTGTTTCAACATATAGAAAAGATGCTTTCTAGTGAATCTGTCGTCATTGCTGAAACTGGGGATTCTTGGTTAAATTGCCAGGGGCTGAAGTTGCCTACAGGGTGTGAGTATGAATTCCAGATGCACTATGGATCAATTGGGTGGTCCGTCTGTACCACTCTTGTATATGCACGTCATTCTAGAGAAACATGTCATTACTTGCTTTGGTGATGGTAGTTTCCAGGTGATCGGACAAGATGTGTAAAGAGATGGGCACAGGTCGGATCGGGTTTTCGATCCACCCGACCGGACTAAAAAATTTTAAATTCTTCACCTGACTCGAACTTGACCCGTTTTTAAATAAAATCCGAACCCGGTCCAAAATAATATATTTATTAAAAAATATTTTTATTCAATAAAAATAAGGATTTAATTCAAAGAAAATAATATATAGAAGAGTATTACTATAGTTATCTCTAAATATATAAGATAAAATTATAATTTTTTTGGGTCGGGTTAGTATTTTTCATCCAAACCCGAATATAACTTTAAAGAACCCCGACTTAACCCGATTCGAACCTAAAAATTTTAAAAAAATCTGACCCGATTGGGTCATATTGGGTCAAAACTTATCGAGTTTGGATTCATGCCCATCCCTAGATGTGTCCACAATGCTGCGATGTGGACAAAAGATCATTATCTTCATCAACGATGGTGGCTACTCTATTAAAGTTGAGATTCATGATGGACGATACAATGTGATCGAAAACTGGAAATGAACTCTCTCGATTGATGCAATTCATAATGGTGAAGGCAAGTGCTGGACAGCCAAGGTGTTTTGTGACGACTGCTTCTGTTGCATTAAGGCAAACAATTGGTGATGGAAGTTTGCAATTACTATTGTTCTGTGCACAGAGCGTAAAGACGACATTTCAGAGGGAGGAGCAATATAAAAACTAAGGGATGCTACGCCTACTCTATTAGGGTTCATTCTCGCACCCTATTAATTTAGACAAGCACCTTAACCAACTGCACCACGACATGGTTATTATTATAAATTTGATTTCTATATTATTTTTATATCGAACTATGACTCAGTTAATTAAATCAATTGAATTAAAAATCAAAAATGTAGTTGATTTGATTTTCGATCGAATTCTTAAAACATTGTCTTTAACAATACGAGTAAAGATAAGATTTTTATAAATGCTAAAAATATGTTAGGCCTTAAAAGTTAAGAAACGGGAGAGGAAAGGGGAGATGAAAAAGAAAATAAAATTATGAGAGACTATAGTGATGGGCACGGGATTCGAATAGGATTCGAGTCGATCTGATCTTATTGGATTAAGCTTTTAAATAAAGAAATTGGTTTCGGTTCGTGTTAGGTTAGGTTTTTTAGAGTATGTGTTTGGGTCGGGTTCAGGTTTAGGGTAAAATATATCCGACTCGACCCAACTAAAAAATAATATAATTATACCTTATATATCTAAGGATAATTGTAATACACATCTTCATATTATTAATTTTAAATTAGATTATGTTTTATTGAATAAAAGTAATGTTTTTTATAGATATATTTGTTCTGAGCCGAGTCAGGTCGAGTTTGAATTTTATCTCAAAAAACTAGTCGAATTCAAGTCGGGTGAAATCATCCTAACCTAGATCGAATCAAATTTCGAGTAGATGATGTATATTTTCGGGTCTAGTCAGGTTGACAAAAAACTCGACCCATACCCATTCATAGATGAGAATACATGCTAATGGAAGATGACAAGTAAGGAGGAATAGTAGAAACCCTAAGTATATATATAGTATTTTTATAAATGTTTAACGTTAGATCGATGTGTAAATTACTCTAAATATGACTTGATTTAATTTAAATTAAAGAATTAATTTTAAATCTGTTCCAGTTTACCCTGAACTTGACTTTTTTCCCCTTAAATAACCCTAATGGATCATGTTAAATTAAAACTCGTTGGATTAGATTCTTTATATCATCTCTAATGAAGTGAGCATATAATGATATAAAACATCACATTAAGTAAAAACATCAACTTACAAAATTCTCAAATATTACAAGATATATTAATTATTAATTTATTAAAATTTATAAATATAAATTACTTTAAATATGATTATAAAATAAAAATGCGTGAATACAATATAAAACCATATGGAATGGAGTCTAATTGAATATAAGTAGTAAAATTACCGTGACATGAGAACTTATTGCTAGGTGCTCAGAATATGAAATAGAGTCTCAAGACCATAATGCGTATTATTGTAAAATTATTGCAAGACGAGACATTAGTATTGACCCAACAATATAAATAAATAACAAAGAATGAGAACAAATAAATGTATCGTCGATAATTTTACCAACAAGTATAAGTACGGATGAATCTATGAGCGCATCATCTCTTTGAAAATATCAAATTTTTATTTTAAAATTTTATAAACTCTTTGAAAATATCATATTTTTTATTTTAAAAATTTATAAATTCATCATCTAATATAAAATCATGTATATTCTTCTTATATAAGAGATGAAACTAGAGGTATAGGGATTTTCTCAGGAAATGCGGGATAATATACGGCATTACCGGATACATTATAATATATTTACAATATTCGATTTAACGCTACCGGAAATGTTGAGTAATAATAATGTAGTAGATCTAAATCATGAAGAAATATTAAAAAATTTGGCAACCGGCAAACTTAGCTTGTCGGTTTGTGTCGATACAAATGAAAAATGTATCACTCCATAGCAATATTACAGGTACAAATATGACAAAACCGATCCCAAAATGACAACTTGTAAAACGCTACCGAATATGTTGAAAGTGTCGATAATTTAATATAAGTATCGAAACTTTCTGAATTTAAAAGAGAATAAGTTATAGCGCCTATAAAGTGTCGATACTTGAAAAAAATATTGATCCATAACAATATAACAGGTAAAAATATGATAAAATAGGTCTCAAAATTGACAAAACCAGTAAAACGATACCGGATATGTTGAAAGTATCGATACTTTAATATAAATATCGACACTTTCTGAAATTAAACTAAAAAGTGTCGACACTTTATGAAAACGTATCGATCCATAACAATATAACAGGTAAAAATATGATAAAACAGATCTCAAAAATGATAAAACCGGAAAAAAGATATCGGATATGTTGAAAGTGTCGATAATTTAATATAAATATCGACACTTTATGAATTTAAAAGAGAAGAAGTTATAGCGCCTAAAAAGTGTCGACACTTTATGAAAATGTATCGATCCATAACAATATAACAGCTAAAAATATGATAAAACCGGTCTCAACAATGAAAGTGTCGATACTTTAATATAACTATCGACACTTTTGGAATTTAAAAGAGAATAAGTTATAGCGTCTATAAAGTGTCGATATTTTAAAAAAATGTATCGATCCATAACAATATAACAGGTAAAAATATGATAAAACCAGTCTCAAAATGACAACCGGTAAAGCGCTACCGGATATGTTGAAAGTGTCGATACTTTAATAAGTACGCGTAATAAATTATCGATACTTTCAAATAAATAGGTGAATATCCTATCGAAAGTATGAACACTTGACATAAAAGTATCGACACTTAGGTAGTTGTATCGATTAAATATAAATAACATATATGGTGTAAATATAAAGGCATAGCTAAATTTCCTCTGAAGATAGATAGAGTTTTTGAAATCGAAGCGTAATTGTTGTTGCATTTCAGAAGGCGTTTCTACGTGAAGTTTTGTTTGTTTGTTACTGCAGTCGAATCGTAAGGTACGTTGTTGAAACCCTAGTTTTTTATTATTACAGTAATGGGAAATAGGGTTTTTATGTGTTGTTGTTTGGGGTTTTCGAAGTAAAGAAGCATTTGAGACCGAATCGATACTTTTATTTAATATTTATAGGTAAAAATGATATTATAGGTAGAAAATGATATTTTAGGTTGTATAAATGTGCTGACACTTGTTGTAGTGACCATTCAAATTCTTTTGAAGACCAACCGTTTTACAACAAATGTAACACCCCCAACCCGTATCCGATCCGGATACGAGTCCGAAGTGTCACATTGACTTTTCAAACATTTATTCGTATAAAATAGTGAGTAATTTAAAAACTTTGATAACATTTAACTTATTCAAAACGTTTACAAAATATATATCAGAGTTCATACAATTTATATCTTTAGACTACATGCCAACTACACTCTATATACAGTACATATATTTTCTGATCTGACATTTGGTAAGGAGAACTGACCTGTTTTGCTCCGCATTACTCTTTACTCTTCTCGAAACCTACGTGTGAAACAATCACACGCTAAGTCGAAGACTTAGTGAGGCATAAAGAAAACACATCTAATGGAATTCATACCCATTAATCATGCATGACTGTTTTATGCTATCAAATTATACAACTCATTTACATATACATCAACATATATTCATGCATATTATGTAACAGATACCATAACCCCTATCACACATATATCATATCATGCACACATCATATCACAAATCATATACATATATCACATACATTGTTCTCATATCACCAAGACATATATGCACTTCTACCATGTCACGAAAAATACAAATATCATTATATCAAATTATGTTCTCTTATTAAAACCCATGTACACATGTGAGAACTATAGATATGTGAGTCTATAGAGGTTGTGCACTATGCTGTCACCACAGCTCATATAATTGCACCGAAGTGCCACGTAGAATTGCACCAGAGTGCCGCGTAGAATTGCACCGTAGTGCCATATAATAATGTCCATAAGGACTACATATCATTCCTTAAGAATCATATATATATACTAGGGATCAAGTATGTGTCTCACCAGACTTCACACATGTTCTAAAGAATATATATATGTCCCGAAAGACCACATATCATTCCTTAAGAATCATATACATATGCCAAGGATCAAGTATGTGTCTCACCAGACTTCACACATGTTCCAAAGAATACATATATGTCCCGAAGGACCGCGTAGACCCTCAACTCTTGGCATGCCAACTATACCCCTAGCTCTCAAGACACATAACATGGGCATTTTCTTTTATACTTATCATTTCACATAACACATAGTTCAATTACTCATAGAACATTTCATATGAGTCACATTTACATTCACATAGCTTATATACTTTCTCACGTAGTTACATAGATCCATATCATATAACATATATCACAAAGTGCACATAATCACACATCATATCATATAGCTTAGATCATTTCTCAGATATTCATATAAACATACATATCATATCTTGTTCACATATGATCATATATGCTTCATATAACAC